CTACTCTCTACTCTCTCTCTCTCTCTCTCTCTCTCTCTCTCTCTCTCTCTCTCTCTCTCTCTCTCTCTCTCTCTCTCTCTCTCTCTCTCTCTCTCTCTCTCTCTCTCTCTCTCTCTCTCTCTCTCTCTCTCTCTCTCTCTTTCCCGCGAGTCTTCTCGTCGCCTTACGTCGATCATCTCGATATCGGTGTGTTTACAACAGCATTTTCCGACGTAATACACAATTATCTCGGACTTAGCTCACCGGGATACGCTCCGATTTATCTCTAGACTGTGCCTCGTAGGAATTATTTCAGCCCGTTATGCTTCCGATTTACCGATCGAAGGGCGAGGTAAATCGACTTGGAGAGTGCTCGTGCTTGTATCAAGTACCATCGACGAGACGAAGTCGGAGTTTTTCTGAGGCTGCTTAATCCTCGAAATATGTGGATTTGATAGAATAGATTAAATGGATCACACTGGACAGGGAAAAATAAAGAAAGAAAGAGAGAGTTAGCTTCTGCAATTTAGAAGCTAACAGATGATCGTTGTCTACATCCCAAGCTGGAGTAGAGTAAAGTGGAGTATAAATTCTTTCAAGGCACTTAACATAAAAAGAAGCAAATACATAAAGAAGAAAGTAAACGGCATGGAAAACGGCAAGAGAAAATGGAAAGAGACTACAAAGGAAAAAAATCAAAAGCTGCTCGTTATTAAAGGCAGTCGTTACAATCGTTAGTGGTATCATTATTATAGGCGATACCGTTATCGGGCATTATTTCATATGTAAATAAAACACTGTTGCGAAAGAACATTATTGTCCATTATTAAATTACGGCGTACACAATTTAATTGCACCAAGGCGAACTTGTTGGAGCTAACAATGATGTAAGGGAAGAAAGTCAAGAGGTATATAGGTTGCACCGTCGACGGCGTATTAATAACAACATTGGATTAACACATGTAAGTTCCCCGCTCGAAGGTTAATCGACTTTGTTGCTTGAGCGACGACTTAATGGCCGCGATCGGCTCGTCTTGCAATCACGATCGGTTCGGCGCTGCTCGGGGGAAGAAGTTTCGCCGCGTTAGCAACAAATTATTGAGCTTCGCTGGCAAACACTCGGGACGTTTGCGCAGATGCACGATGATGTCTTACCGAGCGAGCTCGAGAGAGAGAGAGAGAGAGGGGGGGAGGGCGAGAGAGAGAGAGAGCTTGTGCCGTTCACCTCGTGACGGTTCTGTCCTACATCGGACGCTGTTTTGATCCGCTGCTCGATGCGTCGAAAAATACGCGTCGACTCGCGAAATGTGCGCGCGACCCACATTCAACTCGTGAGATTGAAAAAGTCCTTAATTAGATACACACGTGAGGGTTTCCCGCTGCATTTCTTCGTTATCCTTCGTATATACGATACGCGAAACTAGTTTTATTAATTGATTTACGGTCCACGCGCGTGCATAAATTCGA